TGTCTCTTATACACATCTAGATGTGACTAGTCCTTCCTCAGTGGCGAGTGAGTGAGGGTTGAAAAAGCCAGATAGTATAAAGTGAGAATTTCATGCAAGCATGATTAGAAACAATAGGCTAGGCTAGGTGGGATTAGAATATATATATATATATATATATAGTGTTAATGTTAACGGCTATCTTGATTTATATTATATGCACTTATTTGTTTCCTGTTGTGTAATGAAGTGTATCTGGCAGTAATTTGAATCTGTTCAACCATGAAGCCTCTGTGGTCTAATGGTTATGACACTCGCCTTGACTGCGAAAGGTCGCAAGTTCGAATCCCGTCAGAGGAATTTTATTACACAATTTCTTTGTGTTTTCTGTAGTTGCCTGTGGTTGTGAATCTTGGCATTTTACTAACTCCATCAAGAAGAGACTTCAAACATTTGAGATGTGGTGTCATGATGTATTATTATGTCCTTAAAGGCCAACTCAGACAGCGTCGGCCGACGCAGCCAGACCCGATTTATCGTCGGGGACAGTCTTAAGCCGTCGTGAGAAATATTAAACACGTTTAATATTCTACTACGCGACTGCCCCCGACGCACACCATAGCGTCTGCGTTCAACTCACACAGACCCGACGCGACAACAAATCGCGTCGGGCTGCGTCGGCCGACGCTGTCTGAGTTGGCCTTTATAAACACTTGTTAACTGAAGCCTAGATTGTCAGATATGTATTATTCTGTCCTTTATTCGAATACTGTATTTACCTCTGTCTCTTATACACATCTAGATGTGTATAAGAGACAGGTTGTACTCTCATTGAATTCTAAAAATTTTATTTTTTAAGTTACTAAATCGAACGAACAAAAGTATTCTTCAAAATAGCCTCTTCAATCTCGTAGTTCGGCAAAAGCATGGTAAAGCATAAACAGCATGGTAAAGCGAAACATTTATTCAGAAGAGTCGTTTGAACAAGAATAGTTTGAATAGAATCAATTTTTCTTTAATTGCATGATACTCAGATGGCTTTGTTTAACTGGAAATGCCACAGTGATATGTATTTAATCAAGGTATTAACATTTTAATACACTAATTTCATGCTTCGGTTGATAATTGTTATTAGACTAGGCATAATTTGAAAGAAATGTGCTTATTTTAAGGTGCTGGAGGCAAATTGTGTTAATTTAAGGCATACCAGCTTTTTGGGGGTTTTGAGGAGTGCTGAACTCAAATCCAAAGACTACAGGAACCGAAATATTCACCCAATACATGTTAGTGCTTCTGAAGTCAACATCTTTTGAGTATTTGAGTTGAGTAACTCTTGATGTTAAATTGAAGTAATATCTGTCTTTTTAGATATATCTAAGGCTTTCGACAATGTGTGGTATAATGGTATTATCAATATGGCATAAAGGGGACATTACTTGAGTGGTTCCGCTAACTTAGCAAGGAGTAGCGCAAGGTTCTGTTTTATGCCCTTATTGTTTTTATTAATGACATTGTGGAGGATATTAAATGTAATATTAGTTTATATACGGACGATATTTCACTTTATGACAGGGACGTAGCCATGATTTTGAAAGGGGAGAGCCGTTGTGCGAGGTACGTAGGACCCGATGGGGGGGGGTGGCAGGGGAGAATCCCTCTGGAAAGTAGCGCGCTCTGAAAGTTTTTAGGGCTGTTCTGAGATAAAGTGAAAATTGCAATAAACAACGCATTATTGTGACGTGGGTTGGAATATGTGTGCGGCCACCTGCCTGATTGTTCAAATGCTTTGTATTCCTTTGTGTGAGGGTTAGTCCTCGCTGATATGTTGAACCGTTGGCAACGGAGCTGTGAGTGTACAGAGGAAGTAATGATTAAAGGAATACTTCTTGTTGTACCGGTATAACTTGTGTAGCCTGGTCATTTCGGTGTGAAGTATAATAGTACGTAGGACCCCGTGGGGGGCAGGGGAGAAGCCCCCTGGAAAGTAGCGCGCTCTGAAAGTTTTTAGGGCTGTTCTGAGATGATAAAGTGGAAATTGCAATAAACAACGCATTATAAATAATATTAGTATAGCCTAGCAATAATTATATAAAACTCAACAGTGGTGGATCCAGGAATTCAACAGAGAGGTGACCCATGGAGGGACTTTTACAGATTGAGGAACCACCCACCTCAGCCCAACCATGGTTGGGGCTGAGGTAAGAAAATTTATGATTAGGGCACCTCAGAAGCCCGGAAATTACACTCTCAGAATTAAATTTGGATAGGTGGGGGGGGGGGGCTATATTTTTCTTTTTGTTTTAATTCATGGTTGGGGCTGAGGTCCGAAAAATTTGATTAAAAATTATACTTATATACTTATATTATACTTTTATATAGTAAAATTCATCATCATTACATCACCATAGTCAAATGAAAACAAATTTCTCATAATCTTTTATCAAGGATCTACTTAATATCCAAGATCACTTAGGCCAAACCATAGCTTACTAAGCTTTAACTATACTATAATAATTGTGATCAACAAATCACAACTTACTTTTTCACCTTTAGCACAATTTTCTTCACTTTTTAATATTATTAATTATTATCGATTATCACCATCGTCATCATCATCATTTTCATCATAATTATTATTGTTATTACTACTAGTAGTACTGTAGTATTAAAACAAAACTTTATAGAGCTTGCAAAACGATAAAAACCAAACTGAACCATACAATATCACATTTCTGTATCTGAAAGACCTGGCCAGGGACTTACGGATTTAAAAAAATCACGCTTAAGCCTATGTGTTATTATAGTAGGCATATGTATAACGTGTACTGATGCATATTTACATAAATTAGAAGTATTTATTTTGAGTGATCCTTGGAAAGAATTTGTATCTAGCAAAAGTAAGCTTTACAATTTTAACACTGTGTACAAAGGGGGGAGCGGCGACTCCCACGCTCCCCCTGTATACGTCCCTTCTTTATGATATTAGTATTGGTAGACAAATTTCTGAGCAAAAAATAAATGATGCTTGCTTTCCAATTCCAGGGATCTGTGTTCAAATCCTATTATAAGAAGTACAATACTATTGTTCATGTTGTTTTGTTCTGTATCCTAGGGAACCAAATTAAATATTGGTTATATACTATAGGCCTATGCCTACACTATGAATACAATACACGTCTGCTTCACTTCAACCATGGTGATTTAATTAATGTTCAATCGTTGCCGCTCTAGTGCTCTCGTGAGAACCAGGCTATGTAGATCTACATAATCGTTGAAAATAAACATTGTTGCTCTACAAACAATAATACCTTTCTTCACAATAGCAAGCCATGTGAACAACCTCGTATCTTTTGAATTCATTCTAATAGGCCTATATTTTCCTTTGTCAGTTTCTGTACGCCAATTTACACTATGTACTGCAAGCATGCTTTGTAAGCATAATTCATAAGCATGTTTAATATTTTACTTTGTTTTTTTCCAATGATTTGCGAAAATTTGGGTGAATTGAATGCATTAAATCTAACCTAAGTATACTAATTTTCCGTTAGTGTACCTCAAGATGACCGAAAATGACACTCTTTATATAGGAAAATTTATCATCACATCACCATTATAGTCAAAATGAAGCGAGAACAAGTTGTGTGATTGGTTGATGATAGAAACGCGCTCAACTTGCTAACCGATAGCGCTGGCTAACCGTTAGCGATAACCGATCGGGTGTTCACACAGGTGTAACCAGGCTATATAGATCTAACAATCTGTGTAAGTACCATTTTGAAAATAAAACGTTGTTGCTGTACAAACAATAGGCCTAATGCCTTTCCTCAAAATAGCAAGCCATGTGAACAACATCGGATCTTTTGAATTTATTCAAAAATATCTTCCTTAGTCAGTCCCCGTAGGCTACGCCTATGTACTACAAGAAATAAAATCTAAAAATGTATTATTAAATAAAAATAATAACATTTCGGTAATTGCATATTCATTCGTGATTCACTCAGGTCTGTATTACTAAACACATAAAATGGAAAAAAAAATAGTGCTGTAACTTACACGATAATTACACCCAAAATGCCAACTTGCAAAATGCGATAGATTGAGCCGATTTTGCGGTTCTCGATACGCATTTCTTTTGGTGTATCGTATCTACATATTGTTGACAGCACGCCTTCGCCATTTTTTCCCGACATTTTGTTACAACAAGATAGCGTTCTCTGCGATTTCTTCGTGCATCTGTAAAAGGGAGCTTACGAAAGAAGACGCGACCAGTTCTACGACGACCCAATGAAGCGTGAAGACAACTGCGCAGGTCTGATTTCAATTTGCCGTTGGCCTGGTTCTCAAGAGAGATGCTAGCATCCGGATCGGGAGCTAACCGTTAGCGCTAACCGTTAGCACCTACGTGAGAACGCCCGGTCGGTTAGCGCTAACCGTTAGCAATATCCGGATACCGCTAACGGTTAGCAAGCGCTATCGGTTAGCAAGTTGAGCGCGTTTCTATCATCAACCAATTTCTTATTGACTAGTGATTCGATCATCATATTCTTGGTATCTGGATCCGGGGACGCACGGTAGCTAACGGTTAGTAGGATCCGGATCCTGCTAACCGTTAGCTGCCGTGTGAGAACATAGCCGATGTCTTCAACTTTTCTTCAGCCTGGTTCTCACAAGACCCCTAGCATCCAGATCGGGAGCTAACCGTTAGCGCTTCAGTTAGCACCTGCGCACAGTGGGCCAGACTGAAGTCAAAGTGTGCCAAAATTAATTACCGGTACTCATTACAGAAGCAAATCTAAGCAAATACAAGACTTATCTAGGCTATGTTCTCACACGGCTGCTAACGGTTAGCAGGATCCGGATCCTGCTAACCGTTAGCTGCCGTGCGTCCATACGAGAAAATCCCGATCCGGATACCAACAATATGATGATCGAATCACTGGCCAATTGACAGATTGATCATAGAAAAAGAAAATAATGGATTGAATAATAACTGATTGATAGAATTGAATTATTCAATATCGAAACAGAAATTAGGCCTAGCTAAGAAAAAGAATAGGGCCTACACATAGTTGCCAACTTTTCCCAAAAGAAATCCGTGAGAACTCCCTCGCGTTGCGTAGCAATGTGCAACTGGCTGGGGGCAGGGGGAGGGCCTAGGGTACCACGCGTGGTGCAATACTGGTTAATAAATTCACACTGATGGTAGCGGGCGTAAAGAGGGTAGTTTGTTTATGATTCTAATGTCGAGCGTACTGGGCTTGCGCACAGCATAGCCAGGGTTACTCTATAAACGCTACAGACGAATGGCAAATGATCTATTTACTGAATATTACTGTAAATGCAGTTCGCAAATCATTAGTTTAAAAATCTTGATCCGTGAGTAACCTTGAAAGCCGTGAGTTTTTGTTCATCCGTAGTAAAACTGGTAAATGAAACATATTTCCTTGCCTTGGCTCATGAGATACTGGCAATGGCACTCACACCGCCACCTCGGTTGGAGGTTCAATTTTTACTATGTAATTTATACCGTGATCTATAAAAAATGAAACCATGATGGTAAACCTAAAGTACCGGTAGGCGATTTTGTAATTACCAAAACAGACAGGGTTGACTCAATTTCAGGCCTAGTGTAGGCTAGATAGGACCAGACCAGGTTTGACAGCACCCACTAGGGGTCAGTGCATTTGTCCGAAGGTCCTTTGTTCCGAAAGGCCTTTGGTCCGCCGAAGGTCTGTTGGTCCGAAGTAATTAATTCAAAGATAGACAAAAATATATTTGAAGAAAACACATGTTCGGGATCATCATGTAGGTCTATATTCTAACATTATACAATTATTGCAGCATGACTTGTCAGCTCAGTTTATGTATATTTTTAAAAAATTATTAGAAATTGAAAAGATTCCAAGCGAATGGAGTATAACTAAGTATAACTTCCTAATGTTTAAGTAGGAGAGAGAAAAGATTTTAATAACAATAGCTTCCATCCAGTGTTTGGAAAATCTTTAGATTTATTTACTTATGACCGATGGGAAACAGTTAACTACTTTCTCACTTTTAGTAGACACATTGACAGTGGCGGCGAAAGC